AGGATGGTCTCGATCTCTTGACCTCGTGATCCACCCGCCTCGGCCTCCCAAAGTGCTGGGATTACAGGCGTGAGCCACCGCGCCCGGCCCCCTGTATAATTTTTTAAGGAAAGAAAGAAATGAAAAAAGACCATCAAGACAAACTCTTCACACAATGCCTGGTACAAAGAAAGAACGCAATAATGGTCACATCTGTGATTGTTATCTAAATACCAGGCAGATATTAAATATTCGGGCTCAGAGAGGGCATACGATCCGCCTGAGTTCACCTAGCTGCAGAGCTGGAAAAGGAACTCAGGCCTTTTTCCCCACTCTGGACGGGGAAGCTGGGGCAGGGAGGTGGGGGGAGCGCTGAAGAAACCTCCCAAGCGGCCCAGGCTGTGGGTCTGGGTGGGGAGACTCGCAGGTGTGGGGTGGGGAGGTAAGGCGACCCTTGCTCCGCGACCGCGAGGAACGCATTCCCAGGCCTCCCGCCCGGGGTCTGCAGGTGACCAGCTGGGGGGGCGAGGGAACGCGGTAGCCCATTTTGCCGTCTCCAAGGCGACCGCCCGCGCGGCGCCAGCCTGACAGTCCGTCCGGGTTTATGAATGGGTGACGTCACGGGCCTGGCGTCTAACGGTCTGAGCCGCTTGTTCAGACGCTGACACAGGCCGGCCCGGGAAGGGGAGGGGAGTGGCTGCAGCTCCGCAGCTGCCGCGCCGTGGGAGGGACACCTGCTCTGAGGTCTTTGAGAAAAAAAATTTAAAATGTTGCCAAAAATGGGGAAAAAAATTAAAAATCACGAGTTGCTGCAGGTTTTGGGAATTTTTGCAAGGAGCTGCAAATTGAAGGTGGAATCGGATGCAGTCCCACTCCACTGCGCTCTAACTAGTTCACGTCCCAGCCACCCAGTCCCAACCTTATTAGGCTTTCCCGAATTAATTGCTCCCACCGGGGGCTGGGGGATCTGGTTAGGCTCTCCGGGTCCCAAGAACATGAACAGCAACATTATCTAGGAATTGAGAAAGCCTGGGGGAGCAGATGTGAATGAGCGAGTGCCCGCTTTAAATTTCGGTCCTGATATTTGTAGATCAGAGTCCGAGAGGTAATCTTCCAAGAGGGTCCAGAAACCCAGGCTCTCTGCGCTATCCAGAGCCAGCAGCTTCTTTATTCGGGCCTCAATTTCTCTCATCTGTGAAATGGAGCTGGAGAAGTGAGAAAGTGAATATGGGAAAAACTGATTCCCGAGGTCTTTTCATTATAAGGCCATGCCGGCTTAGCTTCCCTGCTCCCTTACCGAGGAGCCCAGTGTAGCCCTCGCCTCCACCTGCTGCCCTGCCGGTGCCCTGCCACCCACCCATCCTTGCTGTTCCTGAACTCAGGTCTTCTTCCACCCCGCAAGGGCGCACAGGAGGAGCGGGAGGCGGGACCCAGGAGCGCGGGCCACGCCCCCGGGCCGCCCATTGGCTGCTTTTGAACGTTCTGAGCCCTCCCCTCCGGGGGCCGCGGGGTGTTTATAAAAGACCGACTGAGGCTCTGCGCTCGCATTCCACGTTCTTAACTGCTGTCTTCTTTCTCTGTCCGGGCTCCTATCTCCTCCGTTCGCTTCGCGCATTCGGTTTCAGGCAGTCACCAGAATCATGAAGGTCGCCAGTGGCAGCGCCGCCGCCGCCGCGGGCCCCAGTTGCGCGCTGAAGGCCGGCAAGACTGCGGGCGGCGCGGGCGAGGTGGTGCGCTGCCTATCGGAGCAGAGCGTGGCCATCTCGCGGTGCGCCGGGACGCGCCTGCCTGCTCTGCTGGACGAGCAGCAGGTGAACGTGCTGCTCTACGACATGAACGGCTGCTACTCGCGCCTCAAGGAGCTGGTGCCCACCCTGCCCCAAAACCGTAAGGTGAGCAAGGTGGAGATCCTCCAGCACGTCATCGATTACATCAGGGACCTGCAGTTGGAGCTGAACTCAGAGTCCGAAGTCGGGACCGCCGGGGGCCGAGGGCTGCCAGTCCGGGCTCCGCTCAGCACCCTCAACGGCGAGATCAGCGCCCTGACGGCCGAGGTGAGGTCCAGATCCGACCACTGGATCACCCTTATACCGGCGGGGAAACTGAGGCTAGAGGAAGTGGGCGCTGGCACCATTTCCGTCCCATCCTTAGGGGCACCTGGCTATGCCGGGGTGCCCAAGGGGCCTGGAAAAAGCGCTTCCCCATCGTGTCTCCTGGGGAAGGGGGTGTCTGTTGCGCTTGGAGCGGCGTCCCCTCCCACCCACGCGTCTCACCTCTTCTCTCGTTTTCACAGGCGGCATGCGTTCCTGCGGACGATCGCATCTTGTGTCGCTGAAGTGCCTCCCCCAGGGACCGGCGGACCCCAGCCCTCCAGGGGGTCAAGAGGAATTAAGTTGTTCTGTGTGTCTCTCCAAAGCGCCTCGCCGGATCTGGGGGCGAACGAGACAGATCCGGGGCCACTGCTCCCTTACGGCATCCAGCCCAGGGCTGAGGGACTGGCGAGGAGAGGCCGACCCTCTCTCCACACCTACCAGTCACCAGAGACTTTAGGGGGTGGATTCCCCTCGTGTGTTTCTATTTTTTGAAAAGCAGACATTTTAAAAAATGGTCACGTTTGCTGCTTCTCAGATTTCTGAGGAAATTGCTTTGTATTGTATATTACAATGATCACCGACTGATAATATTGTTTTACAATAGTTCTGTGGGGCTTTTTTTTGTTATTAAACAAATAATTTAGATGGTGGTAAAGTTGCAGTTACTTCTTGGATTGAGGGGAGGGGCCTGGGCTGGGAGTTGACCTCTCACTCTCTTCACAGCTGGTTCTGGGAGGAGAAATGGAGGGCCACATCTGGACTGTCGCTTTTACCGGCCTGAATGAGTGTTTCCGGTGTCTTTAAAGTCTATTCCTCCCCCACCATCCCTGGCCATTTCCCTGCTCCCCAGTGTTATAAAACTAAATACTCTAGGCCTCTGGGGTTTCTCAAAGTCATCACTGGCCCATCTGGATCACCTGGGGAGGTTGTTAAAATGCAGATGAACCTGCCAAGACCCCTTCTGTCTTTGGGGAGTATTGAGCAAGCTATTTAAGTTGGAGAACCTGGTGGCGGGACCACCCACTTCCTTGCCAAGATGTGGGAAAAGAGTCCCAGTGGAAAGGGACTTGCTTAGGGCCATAGCTTGTCAGAGGCAGTGATTCTATCACCCCATTCCCCAGTAGGAGGTCCCCTCCCCAACAGCCTATTTCTGGGTCCCAGCAGGCAGCCCTGGGGCTCCTGGCTCATCCAAGTGGGTGAGCAAGTTGGCAGGGCCAGGTTGGGCACAGCTGCTGGGACACCTGCTCTGGGTCCAGACTCAACCCCCTCACTCTGGCCTGGCTCTGTCAGCAGCTCAAATCTTCACCTCCCCCGGCCCCACCACCAACCCCAGGGCTCCTGCGTGGGATCTGAGGAGTGGGCAAGTCTCATTCCCCAGCTCCAGAGCAGGAAAAACGTCATTGGCAAGGGCCTATCTGCCTGGACATGTATGTGGGTTTCTACTGGGGGAGCACATGTGTGAGTGCTTACACCTGTGTATGTAACCAGTGAGCTGGTCTTCCCCCTCTTTCCACGGTGGGACTGGCAGTCTGTTCACGTATAGGCCTAGGGGTGTAAGTAGGGATATGCTCGGGCTGCGTGCAGAAGGGCAAATGAGATCATATGTGTTCCACAGATAAGTGTGCAACCTCCAGCTGTTTGGGCTTGTGTGTTCTGCCTAAATGCATTGTGGGCATCTCTGCATGGGTCTGGAATGATGGATGAGTTTGAGTGTTTGAGGCCACAGAACCACACTGTGGGTTTCTGTGTGTATAATTGTTCTGTAAATCGGTTGGCATTCCTGGGCCTCTGAGGGTCTGGAATGAAGGTGGGGACGGCTGTGTTTGGGCAAATCCGTCCTCAAAAGTTCACGTGCCAAGTCCCTGGGCTATTATTAGGCCCCGGGGGCACCAACCCTCAAGGATTGCTGCCAGGTAAATTCCATGTATTACATATGGAGAAACTGAGTCCCAGGAAGGGCAAAGAACTTGTCCCAGACGGGTAAGGGCTATTAATACATTTTGTCAAGAAATAGAATAAAATAAATAGCCCCTAGCACCGGAAGCCTGACTCTGCTCTACTCTTTACATAAGCGATTTCATGGATCCCTGTGGGGCTAAAGGCAGGATTGTGATCCCAGTTTTTTTTTTGGTTTTTTTTTTTTTTGGG